ACACGGCTACATGCAACACAAACACATTTACACACATCTGTGGAGGGACAGGATTTGGGAAAGTGATTGGATAGGCCTGAGAAGTGAGGTCTACAATGTGCACCCCCCCCCACCAGGCCAAGTGCACTTTGCATTCGAGATGGTGATTCTTCAAAGTATATGTGAGTGCAAATATGTAGAAGGACAGTACACAGTGAGTAGGATGTAGGGTACATGTATGTGTGTGTGTGTGTGTGTGTGTGTGTGTGTACACTACCCTGAGTCCTCCCACACAGTCTGTTTGACCCGGGTGTGTGTGCTTGAACGAGTGAGTGCATGTATCTGCAGCGGCACATGGCTGTGCTTCATTAATGAGGCGAGCTGTGCTACGCAGAGGTTCTCATCTAATGAGAGCAGTTGAGCTGGTAAAACACACCACTGGAGTCCATGTCATTAGTATATTTCTGGCCCTGGACATGGCCCACCTCCAAACACACGCTCATATTCAAACTAAACAATATTTACTAATCATACTCTCAGCATACACAAGATGTGTGGTTGACAAAAATAGCATTCCACATCATAAATAAATCATATTTATCTGACTTTTTTTTTTTTTTTTTTTAAATCAGAAGTCTTTTGTAATTTTAAGCATTATTTGAATTTATAAACTAGATTTCAGTTTTTCTAAGTTTTCAGATAAGGACGCTTACTGATTTATCTGAAGGGAAGTGGTGTATGTAAATACAAGCAGCAGGTTGCAATAAATTTTTAACATGCTCTTAGAGAGGTCCCGAAAGCTGAGCTAAAGAAGTGGCATTCCAGATGGGGAACAAATGAAGAGAGCAGTCAGAGTCAAAACAAGACCGATGTGAAGATAACTCAAATATATCTGACTTATACAAGCTTTTCATCACAGTCTCCTGAAGATCAGCAGAGAGGACTAAAAGTGCCCTGATGCAAAGTCAAGGTAAATATCATGTACAGGCAGAAATCCATGTTTATTCTTTCTTGGGTATCTTCCTCTATCCTTATACTGTTCTAAGGTCCACTGAAAGGTCATAGATACAAAAAAGTGTTGTATAAAATACACAAGAGAACCCTATGGCTGACTTGTTCTGTTTGCATAGCTCTTGGTTGAAAAAATAATTTCCATGTTTCTTTGTAGCATTATGGTTTCGTCGTTTTCAGTTGATGGTCGCTATTAATGATGATGATGATCAAAAGAAACGCCTCACCTAAGCGAAACGTGACCTGGCAAAACGGTGGGTGTATTTATGCGCACATGTGTGTGTAACTAGCACTTTAATTATACATCTAAAAGTGTTTATATTGGTTAACATAAATAACAAGCCAGAAGCAGATGTTAAAAACCATCTCAACCAGCCAGGGGAGATGCATCATGTGGGCTTCTATCAATTTATAAAAAAAAAGGAAAAAAAGCATGGTCCTCCTGGGAAATGTTGCTTCTATGCTTAAGGTTATAATCATATGATGGACTTTTATATTTTTTCAGCATTTTGTGTATCATGTGCTAAAATTGCATAAAAATGTAAATGTTACACTGCTTTGAAAGTAAGGTAATGATGTAGGTGCACAATTCTTTAAGGAGCACCATAGTGAGTGGGGTGGCTGGGCCATAGTAAGAGGTCATGGTGAGAGAATAAGTGTATTTAATGAAAGTAGGCCATCTTCTAATGAGAGGGAAAGCACAGATTTAACTGTTATACTGTGGTTCTATTCAGGAAGTGACAGTAAGCCAGAATGAAAAATACCCAGAACGTGAACCTGAAGCAGCTAAATGGAATTTAGCTATCATTAAAAGTTCATTATTTACACCTGTGCTTTTCCTACTGTGACACGTCAAAATGTCTACTGTGAAAAAGGCTGCATTAAAAAGTTTTCAAACATTTCAAAAGACACTGGGGCTTCTTTCTCTGAAATTTAGAAGAAACTTTTCTGGAGTGAATGAACATGCTTAATTTTCTATTTCTAACGCTGATGAGAGTATAACCAGTGCTTTGAACGACTGCCCACACAATTAACAACTTACCACTCATTTACTGTGGTGAAGGTTCCAGAAAGCCCGAGGTCTGCTATGGATTCTAATGTTGGTCTTTAATCACAGCACAGCTCTGACAGTAGCCAAACACTAGACTACAATAAATACAATGATGCAGTTTGGGAAATAGTCATAAATGATTAAATGTTCACTGTAGCTAGTTTTTTGTCCACTAATGAGGGATCTTCCTTGCCTCTAGATTGTGATGGTGACCACCCAACCTGGCAGCCCAAACCTCCCCAACCTGGCAGTTTGTTCAGACTGCATCACATGGTGGGTGGGGGTCACCCAGGTGCCTGATGATTGGCTAGGCCCTACAGCTAGCAGATGAGGGCATGAGGCCATTTCTAGCCTGACATTATGGAGAGAGCTCAACATTTTCAGTTCACAAGTACACAATACTGAACACACCTGAAAATAAAGTGCAAGTAGAGTTGAAACAATTAGTCCATTTGTTGACTGAGTTAATCATTTAACTTTTTTATGAAGCAAAAACAAGTCTTCTACAATAAGAGAATTTGTGCTTTTTTTTTTTTTTTTTAATTCCTTGAAAATTACTGAATATTTTTTTCACTGCAGCAAACTATGATGGGCATTTTAAAAATTTTCCTGGAATTTTACACTCATAAAAACAATCGAGAGATGAATCAATAATAAAAATTAGGTAAGACCGAGGTGCAAGGATAATGTTTTGCTATGTGGAACTGTAAAATTACTGTTTGGGAAAAAAAAAATAGAAAAGAAAAGCAATATCAATTTCTTAATCTAATGTTGACCCTGTGAGGTTAATCGATATAGAAGGCTAACAAGCTATAGCATTATTCATATTAGATGACAGCACCAGACATTGTTCATGTACGTTTAAGCCTTTATAAAGTCGTGTTAAGCTTCCTGTAAAGAGTTAACTTGGCATAAGACAGGAGAGAACAGACAGTCAATCCTGGTGCACAGCATGGAAGTATAACACACAATGGGTGTTATTCCTCTCACCAACCCTCCACCTTCACCCCCCCCCAAAACCACTGCGGGAGGGGTGTTCAAAGCCGTCGCTCTGGTCCATATTCAAATGAGCACTGCGTCTCCCCCCTGTGCTCCCGTAGCGATCAGCACTTTGATCACCTCCAATGGTAACTTCCACCAAAACATTTAAAATTAAAATCAAATCTGCCTTAACAACCTGAGCATTAGAATTTAACAGGTGTTCGGGAGGAAGTTGTTACAGAATTTGCGATTATGCGCTCGGATACACACACCTTTAGTCAAACACGCACCCATGCAGACACACACGTACACACATACACACAACCTGTCAGTGAAATTACAGAGTGGGAAACAGAAAGCCCTCCTGACTGAGCGCTATACCTTGGGATACTCGATCTGTTCACTTTGATGTTAAAGAAAGTTAAAAGTTAAAGAAACAAATCAGCGAGACAGCAGCTACATGTGTTCAGTAAACAAAAGTTAATATTAATTCTTAGCACATGTATATACATAATATTTTTTGTAATTACATCTCAAGCCTGAAAGTGTGTGATGCTTTTTTTTTTTTTTTAATTCTGACCCGGGCTGGGGAAGAGAGAGAAGGTAGAGTTGATAAAACAAACACACATATGTATACACACATATACACACATACATACACTTTATACATGCATGCATGCATGCCCACACTACACACACAGCACTAACTGCATCTTCCCTAAATGTAGTATTAATTACTGGGGGAACACTGCAGTACTGTATTTAATTACCGACTAAATGATCCATTTATATTTCACCGCTGGTTAAATTAACAGGGTTAAGTGAGACAGGGCGATTGTAACTCACTTAACATTTGAGCTGATATCTTTTAGCTTCCACAGTCTGGGGACAGCACTGTCAGAAAATATCAACCAATCAAATTAAACAATTACAGTCTGTGGAGGCACAGAAATTACTCAACTGCTGCAAAAATATGATCTTCAGCTACAGAGTTGTTTTATCTGCAATAGGAATGAAAGTCATACTGCAGAACAGACAGAGACTCATTATAACGACAAATGCAGCTCCCTACAATGTTGGTGGAATGAGGCTGTGTGGCTCAAGAGTACAAGATACAGATACCTGTTACTATTCTCAACCAAGTCTTTGACACTGTGTGGTCCAAGAAACATCTATCACCATGTCATTAGGAGTTATTAAAGGACGCTTAAATTGTGGCTGCACCATTAAATTTATAGTACACCTTCGATCCCCTTGGGGTGACAGTTCAAAGGTAGTGAGCTAAAGCCAAACCCTCGCTGACTGACAGATGTAGAACTGTAACTCCAAGATCATCTTCAAGAACAGTATCAGGCTCCAATTAAATCACCTCTCTTCACCTCTTATCTGTCTTTTCTGCTATGTGACCGGAGTGTATTAAAAGGACTTCCAGATACTTGGGTGGGAGGAGAAAAAGAAGATAGATAAAGTAAGTAAGTCAGAGAGTGCATGTGCGCCCAGGACTGAGAAAGAGGGAAGATCAGATAGCTGACATGAAAGACACTGCCGCTAAGAGAGATGGATAGATCAAGGGTGAACTAGAGTGATATCAAGAGTGTGATTCTCAGTTAAAGACCACCACCACAGGCCTTGCTGGGGCTTATCAGTTACTGCTGTGCCTACTAATCCACCTACACATTGCCGTTTCTCTACCTTAGGACAATTAGACACTGGCTCTGGACAGGTGATTGACAGAAGCATCATAATATAATGTATTTATTATGTAAGAAAAGGCATCGATATAATATATAGGGAATAATAAGCATATATTTTTGTTGTCCATACCCACACAAGTGCATACCAAAGTTCAACAACTTCTGCAGCAGAGTAGCTATCATAGAAAACCACTTCTTAGCCTGGGGTTGTGATGCACTTAATAAACTCCAAAAAGGAGAGGGTCTGTGTGGAGGAGATGGTGAAGAATGAGAGGGGTGCTTACCTTAAAGTTGGTTTGCCTGTTGGGTGACGGGTAAATTGTTGTCTGCTGAGCCTGTAGCTGCTGCTGCTGTTGCTGCAGTTGTATTTGCTCCTGCTGCTGTTGTTGTTGTAGCTGGGTCTGGAGTTGCAGGATGTGTTGGTCTTTCTGAGCCAGCTGGCTACTGAGCTCCTGGTGACTCTGACGGAGGTTGGCCTCACTGGACATGAGGGCCTGGTAGCATTGACTCAGCTCCTTGTACAGCTATCAACAAGCACAAATAGATGAAGAGCACGAGGGGAGGTGAAGAGGTAAGGGAATGGGTCAGGTTAACCAAGGATGGGATGTCAAATAGAGGAAGATAACACAAAATCACTCATGGGATTGGGCAACATGGAAACTGACAAGTGTTTCCATGAGGATGTTTTTTTAAATTTCCACAGCAATAGGAAAAACATATGCTAAGATCATCTAAGTAAGGACGAAAAGGAAAAATGAAAGGAAAAAAGACAACAAAAAGAAGATAATATGAAGTGAGACAAAAATGTTCCTTAATATTCATGTTTTAAGACTAATAATTTCCCCAAAACTCTCCCTATGCCCCTCCCTGCGCAGGGCTGTGTATGGCACAGTGGTACAGCCATCAGACAGAGGGGTGGTATGTTGAGAACCCATTCACAGTAACAGGATACTGTGAGAAAAGTCCTTCTTTTCTGGCACTAGTAAAATAATTGTAGGTTACAGCTAGCTTGGAAATAAATCACCACAGCGGGTGAGGCCTGAGCAGAGTGCAACAAAGTGGTTATAATAATGATGAGTTTGAGGTTTGGCGTGTGTGTGTGCATGTGAGAGAGTACCCTCTGATAGGAGGTGGTGTCAGCAGTATGTGCCTCTTCTTGGTTCCTCAGGACTCTCTGTGTGTCTAGGTTGAGTCCTTCCAGTTGCTTGATCAGATGACTCTGCTCTGCTGCATGCTCTGTGCTCTGTCTGTATAGAATCTGCACTTCTGTGAACTCACGACTACACACACACACACACACACACACACACACACACACACACACACACACACACACACACACACACACACACACACACACACACACACACACACGCGCGTGCAAGGTGTTATTCAAATTCATACTGCATGTGTGCTACAGCAATAACTCCATTCTTTTCTCCATAAATACAATGAAATTATGTTTGAGTTTTTTTTTTATTTTATTCAAGGTAAGAAATGTATAAAACTGAAAAATACTGTATTGCAATGACTCAAGGACAATGATTTGTTAACTCTTATCAATAATGTCTTAAATTTCCCTCAACTTAACAACATTAAAGTTCATTTCTGAAATTTGTTTTGTGTCCCATGGAATTATCACAAAGTGCTCTCTAACATGAGGACATCTTTAATCACCTAGCTAAAACCTTAAGAATGGTCTCTAGCCCTGGTGTGACTGACATGTCAAAGTGCCTCTGGCATTAAAACAGAAAAGTAGTTAAAAAAGGTTGAGATTACCACTAAGGCTCCTACGGTTCTCACAGTTTTTATCATATCGACTAAAGCTTAGCCAAAGCCTGCCCTGTTTCCCTTTTCTCCCTCTTTTAAAGCACATCCACTATGCAGGGCTTATCAAGTGGCTTTACGTGAGCCAGAGTGGAAGAAATCTGTGACACCCCCAAGCCTCATGGTGTAGAGAAATATACTAGCTGCTGCACACAGTAACCTATGTGAAGTGATGTATACACATATGTCTACACAGGACACATCGATACTTCCTTCAGCTCATTAGATTAACAAAAAAAAATCGCTTATAAAGATGTGGTTGTTACAAGAAAACAAACAGTAGTGGGCAATATTTCAGTTGGTAGGCCTCACCGAAGTTGAACGAGTTGCCCCTCTTTTGCCGCCACCTCCCCCTCTTTGGAAGAGAGCTGGCCTGCCAGACTGCTACTGTAACTCTGCAAGCGAGACAACTCCTGCCAGGCATTGTGTAGCTCCTCCTCCAGGTCCTGGTAAAGTAGAGTGCCTTCAAGTTTAAAGCACTTTCAAAATACATAATATGATATCTATTAGGCTTTTCACAATATATTCCACCTGAAAACACTGAAGAGCAGTTGTGCTGATGATCACAGAAGAGGATCAAAACATCTGAATCTCATGTATTTTTGCACTTCTGACCACTACAGTCACTTTGATATAATATCAATCAATATTTATTATTGGAATTTTTATTTTTATTTTTTGCAAGTAAAGACATTTCTTCACTGTGCGTTTGTGCTGAGTTTACAGACCAGTGTGGTTGACTTTACCTACTGTGCACTGGAATTAGAGATGTTTCATTTGGAAATGTGATAAAGCGTATATGTTGGACACCGCACAACACGTTGCTAAGCAAAAGCATCTTTTCAAGCTCCAAGTCTGTTTTCTTTCAATTTACATACATAACTTGATTGATTGTGTACTGGGCTGTTAGCATTGTCACAACACTTCTAAGTGCATAGCAGCACTGTGCCTGAACAGACAAGATGTACACACCAACGTAAGACTGCAGCTGCTGCTATTGTGCTGCTCTCAATATGTAGCAGGTGTAGACAAGGTGTTAGTGACAGCTTTTCTTTAATAAGAAGAAACAATCAGTGCAGCGCAGATGGCATGGCATCAAACACTCAAAGGTCTCCAGGCCTCGATAGTTTAAACATAATTAAAAACCGTGTTTCACAGGGCCAGAATTAACCATATGAAAAATGAATTAGCAATAAGTAATGACAAGAAAGGAAATGAAAAAATTCTATAACACAAAGAGTGCATAAAACAGAAATTAGGTTTGTTTGGGTGGACAAAATAACAAAAACACATTACAGTAGACTAAGGTTAGCTATTCATTAAAGATAAGGTTGTGTGTGTGTGTGTGTGTGTCTGTGTGTGTGTGTGTGTGTGTGTGTGTGTGTGTGTGTGTGTGCGTATGTAACTATATAATAGGCATACCTTATCTATGCATGCACTGGATTAAATGATAAATTCCTTGACAAATCTTTGCTATGTCAAACAAATTGGCATGATGTATCCACCGCACACCCCACATTCTCCATCTCCATCTTTCAAATCAATGTATGATACTAAAAATGAGGAACAGGTGGAGTGTCTTAGGCTGTGATGGATGTGCATAGACTAGTTGCCGGGCTTCATCCCGTCCAAGTGTAATTACTCTGCAGCCCTGACTTATACAAGACTTTCTGTCTGACTCGATTTGACTAGAGTAGCAATATGTTTCATAATGATTAGTCTATGAGGATGGGCAGAATGTGAGCTTTTCTCATGTCCACAGAGATAGAAAGTATTGATAATAAATAATGATGACTGGAACAATGGACAGAAAATCACCTACTTGCATATGGGTAGAATGAATGACAGAAAACACACAACAACCTACAAATTCTTGCACCCACACATGCAAATGACATGAAAATTTATAGGTGTGGAGTCTTCAGTTGTGGTCATCAGGTGAGTGGAAGGAAGTTTGGTCTCCCCGTGTTAAATCATAATTTTTCCTTCCTTTGAATATAGTCTCTGCATATTTAAATTGTGCGCTTTGTTACAGAGATCTTTCTACATTCACATGCTGAGGAGGAAAGGATGTGAGGGATCAGAGTTCAAGGTGTATACAAGATAGAGGACAGGTACAACTTTGTGTGTGGGTGTGTGTTTCTGAATGGACTTGTCACCGTGTTCATACCTTGACTCTGGCCTGGGCAGCATCCCTCTGGTCTCGTTGGCTATTGGCCTGCCTCTCATTCTCCTCCAGGTCAGCTCGCAGGGCGGCGCAGCGGGAAGTTAATCCCTCTTTCTCCTCCTCTAGAGCCTGCACCACCTGCCGCTCCTCCTCCCCTTTCCTCCTACACTCCGTCTTCATTTCCTGGATGAGAGAGGTGTGTGTATGAGGAGGAGAGTGGGAGGTCATGAGGGCCAAATAAACAACAGTGACGAAAGGAGAGAAACAGAAAAAGTAGCGATTCAAACTGAGAAAATGAGAAAAGAAAGACTGAGTGATGCAAAAAGAGAAGCAACCCATGGGGCTGAGGCTGAAATGAATATGTAAACAGTGGACCGGCTTTTCTGCGGGAGCCCCCTGCATGGGCTGCTGATTGGCCAAGGTCACCTGTGCTGTATGACTGGGCCCACACGGCCAGATGTTGGCTGGTGTGGGCCGAGCCGTGCTGCAAGAGCTGGGCTCATGCAGGTACAGGGGCCAGTCTGTCAGCTTTAATGACAGGCTCCTAATGAGAATGGTGCTTGCTGCAAGACCCATTAGACTCAACCTAGGTCTCCTTTGATGCTGTCCCCTACGATTTCTCGCCATGAGACCTCACCAAGACTGTGTAAGGATCATTCCTTTATCAATTAATCATAGCCGGGTCCCATCTAAGCATAATTAGGGAGAAGCCACACCATCACATGCACACTTTTCACTTTCCCCCACAGAAGCAGTCATTAAGTATTTATCTGCAAGTTAACAACCTGCTTTCCTTTCTCTCCCTCTTATTCTCTCTCACACACACTTTCCAGCTGTTAAGTATTCTCTGTTGTCAGTAGCAAGAAGAAAGCTAAAAACAAGAAAGGGTGAGACAGAGTGAGGTTGAAAAGCGAGAGGAAAAGACACAAAGACATAGAGATTGTGTTCAAGAGGGCTGACCAATCGTCCTCCTCCTCTAAATGATTCAAACGCCTGTGGCTATAGCCACGGGGGACTTGTCGTGTTCAGTGCCACACAGAGAAGACACTTTTTGACTCTGAGGCCCAGACTGCCGCTGAAAATTTGTTCCACCAACCTCGAGTTCCTGATTCTTATTGACCAGTTGTTCACGCAGAGCTGTCAGCTCCTTCTTCATTAAGGCACTCTCCTCGTCCACTGTCGTCCTCCTCTGCACCAAGTTGTTAATCTCCTGCTGCTGTCCTGTCACTTTCTGTGGCAGACGGTGAGAAAAAAAGAAGACAGAGGGCAACACAGTTAATGAGAAAGAGGGACAGAAAAAGATTACATGCAGGTTACATTATGCCTTTAAGTATTGGAAAACTCAAATCAAAAACAGGGTTTGGATTGGTCCATAAAAATGAACCAAACATTTACCAGGCTTTAAAACCTGATTGCTCAAAACTATATCAGTAAATATTAAATATAAAACATGTTAATTAAAAAAATATATACATATTTTTTGCCCTTAAGGCTGTCGCACAGAAATAATGACGCAAATAATGATTATTTTCATAATAGCTTTAGCATCAGAAAACAATGAAAAATGCCCATCGCAATTTCCTAGTGCCCAAGGTGACATCATTAAATGCCTTGCTTCCTACCTACCTACAATTCAAAACTCAGACATTCAGTTTGAAAAATTGCAAATTCACACATATGAGGACTTTATACTACTACTAAAAATGATTAACTGATTATCAAAACAGTTGCAAATACATTTTTTGTTGTTCCAGTTCTAAACTGAAAGTGACCACACACACTCAACTATTAAGATCTAACTGATACTCAGTTTAATTCTATAATGAATCACAAAACATCATAAAACTCCATGATGATTAATTTAATGACAGAAGACATAAGAAAGGGTGCGATAATTTTAATGACCACCCATTTTTGATGCTGGTATATGTTCACTTCATGTTTTTGGCAGCCTTTGTGGCCTTAGTAGGAGGAGGCTGGCCTCTTAACACTGCATCAGCTGGGGTTTGGCATTGGCTGGTAATCCACAGCCTTCTGTGGGTACACCCTTCTCTCAAATAACACTGTGCTCTGGGATGCAATTAATTGCCATGTTGAGGGAAATCACTCAGATATATCCAGATAGTGGATTTAGCGTTCCTCGCTACTCCTAGCTCGCCCGTGCTAAGAACAGAGGGGCTTTAATAGAGATTTATACTGGAGAGCAGACAATAAATTCAAACGTTGATAATGAGGTAGGCAAGAACAATTTGAACCCCAGTAGTGCTCAATTGATAGAAGCGGAAAAAAAAGGGGGTTCCGCCAAGTTAAGAGGTCTAGGACAGAAAGATTAGCATTTGAAAATTCCCAGTGCAGTTCAAAAATGAAAGCTAATTATGTTACAAAAATGGAAAGGAGTAGCGAGGGAAAGTATATAGAAAACGAGGTGGAATAAAAAAAGAGGAGCAGGAAGAAAAAAAAACTTCATCAAAGTTGGAGAGCTGACACATTAAGAGGAGTATGAGATCCTGTGTGGACTCAGCAGACCATCACATCTCCAAAAAAAAAAAAAAAGGAAAAACCAATTAATCACTATTTGGGTATGTATGGCTCAAGACTATGGATGAGATGATGACTATAAGAGGGCTGGATGACACAGCACAGAGCCAAGTGCTATTAATGAGCTTTTCAAAGTTTCATTCCCAACAGCTTAAAGAGGAGAATGAGATTATTTTCAAAGCAAAAGAGCACAAATATGAAACTGTTTTCTATGAAAGCAAATTTGAAACGCATCAGGTAAATTGATTTAACATAGTATAAAGAGGTTTACATTTAAAACATTTTTTTATAAAGATCAAGAGCGATAAATGAATCATTTAATTACAGCAGCTCCTCAAGCAGATAATCAAAGGGATGGTTTTACTCTACTTAGTCACCCTGCTTGCATTGTTAGTACACTATAGCCTTTAGCTGGAGGCTGGTAAACGTTCATCTTTATTAGTATCACAAAAGGTTGGTTTGTAAGTCTAAGACACATTGGCACAATCTTTAAAGTTGGTACTAAAAGATTAAAAATGTGCGGTTGCCTCTGCTGATCTGCCAGTCACCGCTTTTAAGGCACTGGTGACAACTACATTAAATACATTACCAGGGTATATCACTTTTAACTTATCTTTTACATTTATCGTACTTTTGCGTATTTAAGATGTTCTTATGTATATGATTTATTATTATTATGTTGAATGTTGCACTATTAGCTCAACAAGGCAAATTCCTAGCAATGTTTATTGTAATGACAATAAAGTTAACTCAACTCAACTCAGCTATTAAAGATCAATTAAGTCTTCACAATAGCCTTATTGAAATGAAGCAGCCTTCACTCAAATCAAATCCCATTCAGCATATGAATGAACTATTTTTGAACAATAACATTCATGGTGAAACCAAGGTCTGATATTAATGTAAAAAAGATAAGTGTTTCAGTATTTCATTTCCCTAGTGGCATATACAGTGTAGCAAATGTCAAAAAAGTCTTTGTATGCTACAGGAAGCTGGGTTTTTTGCATAGACACAAAATAATAAAGCCATCATTTTACTTCATCTTATAATCTTGTCTTATACAAAATGTCTGTTCCACAGTAAGTTTATGATACATTTCTCTTATATTGTAGAGCAGCCAATCCTCCCTGACTTCATTGCAGTGCCAGCACAGTCCTATCCAGAGGTCATACAAATGAAGGCTGGGAGATTTGCTTTCAAGTTGGCTGTCGTGGCCACTAATGCATCCGTCAGACTTAAGAACTGATTGAAGCAGAATGTTCATAACACACCCACAACAAGAGGACCATACCCATCAAGAGGATTATGCCATATTACTTAGGAGTCCCTGCACTTATGAGATGTTTCATTCACATCTGTTGGAAACCTGTGAGAAAATACTGCACTAGGTTGGCTGACTGTACCATTTTACTGCCCTCAAACTAGCACTGAAATAAAGTTTGATATAATCACATATCTTGTGCTTCTATGAGCTACTACTATGACTACTGTATCGACTGGTTCAGTGGTAAAATGGCTGAGGAAGGCACTGTAAAAAAAAAAAAAAGACACTGGCAAGTTGATGACTCCATTACAGCCAGTCTCATTAGGAACGAACACGATTCTGGATGAGAGACGCTAATGAAGGGGACTGACAGATGCTTCAGTGAAGGGATGATGATTTGGAGTAAATTACATTAGTGATGTCATTATCGTTAGCCATCATACCATCAAGAAATATTACTCAAGGGGAGATGCAAAAGAAAGCAGGTAAGAGGGAGAAAGAGCTTGAGGTGTTCAATTAAAAACACACACAGATTCTGTTGGTTATGAATTTTTTTATGATTTATTTACATTTAGCTTTTATAGTTTCACTTGATATTTAAGCAAGCTACTAAACATGTGTTTGTAATGACAACAGGTGAGAGAGGACCCTGTAACCCCCCCACCACCACCACCACCATTATTATGTCACCGAGATCTAACGGGCATTTCTTCAACACAAAAAGTTACAACCTGCTGGACCAAACTGTACTGTACCTGTTCCAGCTCCTGTATTGTGTAGTCTTTGGACTGAAGGATCTCCAACACTTTCCTGTCCTTAATTTCAGCTTTGTGCTTCTCACTAGAAGTAAGAGAAAAGGAAAACAAATAACCATGGTGATCTACAATTGAGTGACTTGAGGGTGTGGAGTTAGAACAATTGGGGAATGCAAAGTACATCCTCACAGATACCAACAGATACCCCACCTTTAAAAAAGAGCCCATATCTCCTTTTATATATATATATATAATTTTTTTTTTTTTAAAAAGGTAATTGTTTTATTGTTGATTTTTTTAAATAACAGTTGATATACAGTATATAGAAAGGACAAATACAAGCAGAAATAGCAATGGTTTGTATATACAATATTTTTAGTGAGTGTTATGTCTGATGTCATTCAAGATCCTTCAATAGTGTCTTACAAAATGTGGATTTCCAACTATAATTTCAACTGCTCTAACTAGCAAATAAAGAAGATCCCTTTACATCCCATTACATATAAGCAATGTTATTTTTACCCTTATCACATTTAGTAATGCTAAACTTTAAGAAAAGTGTTTAGAAAAGGTTCGCTCACTCATTTGTTATTACAGTGCTGCAGCACCAAACTCTGAACTTTTGTCTCATGCCCACTAGTGCCTCTTTTATCATAATGAACTTTTAGGGAGACAAAAACAAGGCATCAATTGGGGACCTGTTTGTTTAAACTGCTTTAGGCCACCAGGGGCTCTCCATTCCCTCCACTCATCACTTGCTCCTTTTACACCTCCTATCTTCGAGGCCTTTTTTCTCGTCTCTTTGCTTCTTCTGATCAGCCCTCTCCCCTGGTAGACACTGAAATAAGTATCCGGTGTCCCTGGAGGAGCTGGAACGTAGGCCGCCCTAGCTACATCTCCTCGTATATTGGGCTGTGTTCACCATGTCCTGAGCAACCAACCAATCACTCTACAAGATCCGCACAGGAAGGGGAGGGGTGGGTGAATGGCAATTCCCAATGGGCACCAGCGCTTGACTGGAGTCGACACAATTACCATGTCAATATTCTCCTGCGCATCAGGTGATACAATACAGATACACTCTCTGGATGCATGTTCCCCCACCAGTCTCAGCAGAGCAACATACTTTGATGGGTTTCCTAAGGGGCTATAAAGGAACTGAAGAGGGTGTGGAGAAGAAATGAGAGGCACAGGTACTGAGGAACTCTCTGCACACTGCTGCACTGTGTTTTACCCCTATTAAGGGTCTAGCAACAACTGACAGACCTCAAAAAGTATGTGATATGCACCCATGACAGAGAAAATATCATTCTAATGCATCCCCAAAAGAAAAAAACTCAGTAAAAACTGAAGTACTGAATGAAGCTTTACACTAATGTCAATGGCATTTGGAACAAGTGGAAAAAACAACTGAATAGGTGTTCACACTGAAGTGATACATGCATCAAAAACAATTTAAAGTCAAATATTTTTTTTCCTAATATGGGAAAATTTATTCAATTTTTCCCACTGTGCAGCTGGGCAGCTTGAACCTCCCTCCATCCTTTCTGAAAGTTCCCATGCCACTGTTTTTCATATAACTTAGCCACCCTGCAAAAGAGGTCATATTCAATCTCACAATTTATCCGATAAAGACAAGTATTTGGCAGGAGTGTTTCAACTGTCCAGTATGGGAGCGGCAGAGGAAGAGTGTTTTCATTAAAAGGGTTTCCATGGTTGAACTGCTAGACCGGGGATAAGAAGGCTTAAATCAGCATCTGCACCAGATTCCGTCGTAACCCCAGTAGAATGGCCAAGGTGCCTTAAACACCCCTTGAACGACTTTCACACATATTTCTCCTCACTTGTAAGATAAAGGAATTTTCAGCTGTTGAGCTTCTCAGGTAGCACTTTTAAAGATGAATCTACTCACCGCTCAACCACCAAACTGACAGCCTGGGTCAAGTCTGGATTTGCCACTTGCAAGCGTTTCCATAGGGACCACACAAACTCCTTGTCTGCCTGTGGAAATAAAGGATTTCGGCAAGTCAACAGCTGTTATTCTTAATTGAGATAAATAGCTTTTGATAAATATGTCTTAAAATGCAGCAAGGCACACAAGAAAAGCCACAGCACATCTAAGCTTTTCTCACTAAAAAACAAAAAATTAAATAGGATGCTCAATGACATTAGCATACGACATAAGGGTTAGTCAATCAATAATTTAAACATCTTGTACAAAATAGTTTTTGATCTGGCCTGCCCCCTCTAATCATGAGCCTCTCTTAACAGGAATCTCCATGGCTGAGATGTGACCTTCGACTCAAGGGGAGCAAGCATTGACACTTGTCATTATGCACTATTTATGACTGGGGAGAGCTGGGATCCAAATCAAAACACAGCAGTCGAGCTTGCATTTTCTTTATTAATCAATTGCTCTCCGGATATGTTTTCCACTACAGCTCCAAAGTAACTAGCCCCAAAGAAACTCAAAGCTGATGACAGAGAGAGTCATCTTCAAGTAGAAAAACCCAGCCAGCCCCTGACACATTTCCAATTCAAATTGTCTCGCTGGTTTTTCAAACATTTTTAAGCTACATTACATTTAATGAGGGACATCTAAAAACTACATTTTCTGACATTAAAAGACAGAATTATACCAAATCGACTTAATATAAAATTATCTGATAAATTATGTTCACATCATCATAAGATAAAAGTCATCCCTCCCACTGGAATCTACTGGTCTCCAATTAGTATATGAATTTTAACCCCCTTTTCAAAAGTGTCTAATCAATTATTTACTAAAATGGCAGAAGCAGACCTTGATAAGACCATGAGTTGAACATATAAAGTGGAAGGACTGTAGATCTCTGTCTCTGTATGCATCTGTATGTAAGTGTGTGTGTGTATACAGAGTGGGAATAGGGTGAATGGGGATAGAGATCTCACCAAATCAACCCTGCAATGCAGCTAACGATGAAATTAAGCAGCATGGTTGACTTGAAATAGGTGGTCTCCCTCTGCCTGGCCTTTGGCTGCCATTAGCCAATCCAGAGACAAGTGTTCAGTCAGGACCCTCATCAAGAGCTCTCGTCTGACGTATGTGTACTTAAAGATGCATTGAATGTGCGTTTGATGATCGCTGAATTATTCATCTTGAATCTAGACACTGAAACACCATGGGCTAAACATACCAAAAAGAAGCACTGGAATTCAGCCACATATTAATAAAATTAGCATGGTCTAGTAGGAACATTTGCTGGCCGACAGATGAGACTCTTTGTAGTTAATGGCTGTCCTGAAGTACATCTTGCCAGAGACTTAAGACATCAATGGTATTCTAATGCCACTACTTAAATGGTACACTGCACAACTAAAGGTCCCTATTAGATAGACAGAATCACTGATGGCCTGCTTTAGACAAGACCACCAAGGATGGTTTCAATGTCAGTTTAATGTAAGGCAGCAGGAACTGTCAGTGTGAAGTGAACAAAGTACCACTGGTAAACTTGTAGCACTTTAATGTAGTGCATTACAACTGAAAGAAACATTTTAACATGGGTGAAAAAGTGAAAAGTTGCTCTCATTTGCATGTCAAAATGTTAGCAGGATAAAGGCCAACTTAGTGATACTCAGAGATAAGAAATTTGTAATATGAAAGTTTTTTTGGTGACAAAGTGCATGTTTATTAGATTGCCCAAGTATTGGAAACGCCTGAGTTAACATTCAACAACTATTTTCTTTGTTACATATAGTTTACAAATAATGTTTCATAATTGAAATTTATCACAGGCCACTCTGATAACCCTGATGAGATATATGCATCGTTATTAGACTGATAATACAGTGACGTAAAGCTGATTCTTAAAATGTGCTTTTTATGATGCCTACAGCATTTTAGCTATCAACTTTTAAAACCCAATACTAGTGAATAAGAAGCAAATTAAGTTTTTATTGAATTACAAAGGTGTACAATGCATGGATTTGACCCTCAGGTGGCCTATACTTGTAACTCTTACAAATTATGAAATGAAGGTGTGAAACGTTGCTTTCTGAGTAGATTTAGAAAGTTAACTTCAAAAGTCAAACTAAACTTTATACACAGGATAAATAAAGTAAGAGGCACACGTGCAGTTACAGTCAAACAGCACCGCAGCGAATGTTTCTGTCCCATGTGTTCGGTGGTAACTATAGTCTAATAAAGACTCAAATGTAACACATCATCTGAACCCCACAGTTGTCTACATACCTGTATAGCAAGGTAATGTGGATATGCAAAGTGAGTACTGCTGGGTTCAGTTCACTCATGTTATTAGGCACCACCTGGTGGTGAGTATGCAAGGACACCCTCCCTCAATCACTGACTTACAAAGTGAAGAGGAAATGTTCTCAAATCTGTCCATAAGCACTTTCTGTATCTGTGCATTTGTATTTATCTGAACAAATACAAAATGGAGGTGTGGGGGGGGTGTCAATTTACTCAAATGTACTCTGGAGGCAGATATTTTCTGCACACCATTTACTGTCTTCAGTGAACATTCAATAAAGTACTGACGTCAGGATATTTGCATACTTTTGGAACAAAAGAGTAATAATGAACAATTAAAATACACTGCAAGTAAATTAAACTCATCTTTAAATCACAACATACCATGAAATGAAATATGCTTTTCAATTCCAACCGTCAACTGCTGGTCATAAGTTCATTCTTTTTGGGTAAAAATTAGTAGAGCTGAAACAGACACGGCTGAATGATGCATTGTTATCTCCCCAGAAATCCTTATTGTCTTTAATGATTTTAAATGTTGAAGGCATGCTCTGTATGTAGGCCTATCTTAGGTGAATCAGATGTCTTTGTCTGATCAATAATGAAATGAAAATAATGGTAATTACAAATGAAATGGTTTGAAATCTAATAAAGCGGACGGAGATTAAACAGTGAAAAGAGGGGGAAAAAAGCAATTTTTACACTGACAAGAATAACATGTTTCATTCATTGCTTCAACAGGCCCATGAAATGCTTATGTGAAACAACAGGTCACATACTAATTAGAGTCAAATAGCAAATAGTATTCACCTTTATTGCTGCATTAGTGTACAGTCAGAGACTTAGATTGTACCTCACAGTGAGATAATCACAGTGGGGCATTTGAACATTGAAAACTTAACTAGTGAGCTGAACAATTGCCAACATGTCTAGACATTTGCAGATTGAACTTACTCACTTATAAGGAAGCCATTTGTGTTTCTTACAGAGATGGCACAATTGGTCATTCAACCGATTAGTCAACCAACAGAACATTAACAGGCAACTATTTTGATAATTAAATGGTAGTTTTAGTTATTTTTCCAGCAAAAATTTCAAATAATTTGTACAGAACAGAACAGGACAGGACATTTGAAGATGCCATTTTGGTTTGTGGGAAATTATAACAGTCATATTCCACTAACTACTGTCATTTTATTGACAAAGCAATTAATCAAAAAAATAATTGGCAACTTAATCAATAATGAAAATAATGGTTGGTTGCAGCCTTCTCAGACAGCAGATAACAGAATGCAGCAGTGTGTACACGTCCCTCCTGGACACAGCTGACGGTTTACTAGGTACATCTAGCTAAACTAATGCAGTCTCATACAACAGTCCTGAAAGAAATCCTACCTCCATGAAGGATATAATGTTTAGTTTGTGCTTCATCTATTTGAGATACTTGTTTTAATTTTGAGGGATGGGTTCAATAACAGAAACACCTGTCTGTATAATGCAGTACAGCATCATACAGTTGAATCATCACCACTCTGAAAAATGTAAATAAACATTATATCTTTAATGAAGTTTGGACTTATTGCAAGACTGTCTAATTAGTTTAGCTAGGTGTACCTAATAAACTGACAGCTGAGTGTACAGTACATTCATACATACCTGGCATTGCGTTAGCTCATCTGATAAACTCTTCACTTGCTCCTCCAAAAGCAGGATACGAGTGTGGTCTTGGGAAGACATTTTGGAACTGAGAGCAAAGCAGGGAGCAAAATAAAAACTGATATCAGTTTGGTGTCTCTCATAACAGCAGTAACACTTGTAGCAGTGGAGAACAAGATCATACAAACGGCAATATATGGGCATGTAAGACTGTTCGTGACACTGTTAATTTGGAAACGGGTTTAATTTATCTTGTTGAAAGCAATACAGGCAGCGGATCTGTATTTTTAATCTGACGTTAGCTACTGTAGCACACTTGCAGGACGATACAAGTAAACTCACTGGAAGTCTATTTAGTAAAAGTGAACACAGTTTATCTCTTACCTGCTTTAATAACTCGCTAACCAGGCCGCTATCAACACGGTATGAGCAGTTTTGACGTTACAACACAAGACACTGCTACTGGAGCTAACTTTGCTAACGTTAGCCACTTAACAAACATTCATATTTTTCGTTTTTTGTCCGCTGTCAGCAGTTTTCAGCGTCCCGGACAATATCGCGACATGCTTCAACGAGAGCATATTTAACTATCCACTATAACGAACTTACTGAAGCTTTATTTTCTACAAATACTAAACACACTTTCCCAGTCAGTAACACTGTTGTCAATAACGACCAACAAGCTTTCCTCCTTTCAAACAAGCCCGCTGTTTTCCGTTTCACGTTATTTTACGACAGTTGCTTTTCATGTACGGCGTTATGATCCGAAGGTAGCCTACTTTGGGTTTAAACGGTTGGTTCAGGGACCATAAGCGGTCCTCTTGAGGGTTTTGAGTGGTGCATACGGTTGTATGCAAACGTTTGGGAATCTGGGAAACTTTTCTTCAGGGGTTATATTTACTTGTTTACACTTCAAAAATCAACAGAATACATAAAATTGACCAGGGATACCAAAACGTTTGCATATAACTCTAAGTTTGTTAGGTATAATTATTTACAATTTTCAAACACCCTATTTTCCCTTAGACAATAAGAACATGAGTCCTTGCATGGAATTAAGTTATTTAAAAGAGTGGTCTTTCGGTCTTAGCTTGAAAAAACTTGACCTAATCTTAAAGTTACAGTAACTGACTGAACCTTAGTCTATGTATATTTTAAAGACTGACAAATTGGTATTCACTGAATGTGTTTATCACAACAGGAGCCATTGACTAATAATATAATTTGTGTGCATATGCATGGCATGCTGTGATGAGACACTGCTCCAGTGATTCATGTCCAAGACATCCATCCCTGCAATTTCAGAGGGGCCAGAAGATTTAACATAAATCCATGAAGCCGTACCCTGTGCCCATATTGGTTGGCATGATTTGCCCTGGTTGTGACTTCTTGAATCAGCTCATGTCTCCCATGGGCTCTCATCAGAAGCACATTTTAGCTGACTATAAGCTAAGATCAAGACCAACTCTGAGCAATGACTACCAAGTCCAGACCACCATGGGTCAAATCCATTGCCTCTAAATTATAAATAACTATATGAGAGAATTCCTAATCATCCAATGCTTTGGATGTAGATGGAGAGTTCATTTACTTTTACTTTTCTACCTACCTAATCATTTCTGGTTTTGTTTATTTTGTATCAAAGTTAGATCCCTTCTTATTATCACACATACTTATTTGTTGTTCATTGTGTACATTTATTTATCTTTATTTATGTGCAAGTTTGCTACACTAATAGATGGTAAACTGCATTGTGTTGCACTGGAACTTATTGTGTGCACTGACAATGAAGTTAATTTTTTTTCTTCATATAAGCTAATTACAGAATGTACTGGGCAGATCTCAGACCTCTCCAATGAAGGGCAGGTCAAGCTATTTATGGCCTTACATCCACCTAACTTACTGTTTATGTTTTTGAGAGTGGGAAAAAAACCTTAAAAAAGTAGAAAAGTTTTTTAAATCCTTCAAAACAAGTAGCAAACAGTATTTACCACTTGGCACTAACAATTATATTTAATTTCATCTTTAGTCTTCGTCTGGACCTTTAATAAATATAAAATAAATGTAAAAGTCTTGGAGTTAAAATAAGTGTGAGACCAAAAGAATCTGAGCTCAGGAACAAGATCAGCCTCTGGTACCACAGCCTTGCCTCCATGGCTGCCTAGACTCCATTGTGGTTTTGGATCATATACAGTATATATGAGGTGTCACATTAATTTGTATCATATTAGTCTATCACAGTAACCAAATTGAATTTGGACATCAAGTCCTCTCCAAAAATAATTTGAAGTACATTGTGAATACAGATTTAAGTGCAAATCAAAAAGAGAGCCTAACAAGATAATGCACATGCATAATTGATATGAGTATAAGTATTATTCTATTTCCACATAAAAAAAAAAAGCCTGAGTTATTGTTTTTCATCTAATCTGATTATAACCTCTGCAACTGTATCTCAAAGGGTAATAAAATATAAAAAACATTTGATAATAACATTTGAATCACTTAATAAATTAAATTTAAGGCTTTTAAGACTTCAAAGCAGCCTTAAGAGTTTTGCAACTGGAACACACAAATACTGGAAGAAAGGGAAAAACTTATCTGTTATATAAGAAGAAGAAGACTAAACATAGGTGGAATAATAAAATGTCACAGTGTCAAAATGACAATAATTTTCATTGAAAATGACAGCATGTCAATGGCGAGGAGATATGCTATAAAACTGTTGTGATATCACAGACACATAGACTCAAATCCCTGTTGCAGATGTACGATAGTCATTTTTACTGCACAGAATGAGGGTTCCCCCGTGTCTGCAAGCGCTGTTTTACAAGGCTATAAATCCCTGTTGTTATATCAAAGCTCAACAGCCACATGGATGACAGTAAAGACAAATGACACTGAGATATGATATTGATCTTTATATGGTAGTTTATGTTTAAAATATTGTTTTTTATTTTAATAGATGCACTTACACCCTCCCCTTGTTGGTAAGCTATTTGCCTCGTTTTATATGTTAGTAATGATCCATTGTAAGGTCAAAGACATTATGCACAATAAATCTTGAATCTTGACTCCACAGTGGGAACTTTGAGAGCTGGATGCAAGCAAGGGTAAAATGAACAAAGACGCGTGTTTGACATCTGTTTTGCTGGTGAGACAAGACAACTCCATATTGTGTAGCTAATGTACTTAAGTGTCCAGCCAGATTTGGAACACAGGGTGAGAGACGAAAATGAAGAAATATGAGGACTGGCACTCCTTCTCAGGCAGACAAATGTTGGTTCATCTGCTCACTGTCTCTCTCTCTCTCTCCCTCTCTCTCTCCTTCCCTCACACACACACACAGAAAAGATGCAATTGACTTAGCATGATTAGGCTGTTCCTTGACCCACGAACACTGCCTCTCATTAAGATCCTCATTTGTGGAACAATTTTAGAGGCAGTAGACTGGTACATAATGCACAACATCTGCCTGTCCCCTGTTTCTTGTTCAGACACACAAACTGAAACATGGTATCTAAGAATAAGCCCCCCCCCCCCCTCATGCTCATGCATCTGCAGCAGGGTTTTGAGTCTGGTCCCTGCAGTTGCACCTTTTTCTCGAGACACCCACTGATTTAAAATATATTTGTTAAAGACATATTAACACTGATAAATGAAAAAACACATCATAGGGCAAAATATAGTCAATAGAAAGTCAAATGAAAACAGTTGCTGGTAACTCAAAATGATCATCTTCTCACTATTGCCTCTTTCATCATCAAATGCGTATAATTTGGCCCCAGACACTTCCAGCTGCTTGCATGTTCTACACAGGCAGGTTCCACCATGTTTTGACAGTGTGTGCTGCTGCTTTTTCCCATGTCTGAAGCCGCCTGTATCTCCCTCCTTTAAGTGTTTGTTGTCTGTGCCACTAATGACAGATTAATCCAGATCTAAGAGCAGTCGAGGCACATAAAAGGCAAATCTCAACCAAGCACTCTTTCATATCACCAATGATGTGCTTCCTGCATTTACAGTAAAAAAAAAAAAAAAGCCATTTTTCACACCATCACTCCAACCGCTGCCATTATTTGATTTTTCCTCTTTCATCAAGAAGCTTTTATTGCATGTATGAAACAGGTTACACGCCATGAGGTTGATGACTTCGTGTGTACATTCATAATTAAAATGAATGCAAATTGTCTCATTGTTTCTCACATTCAAATTTAAATCCATTAAAATGACTTTTCGGGGTTTGAGCCAAATAGTATGCAACATTATTGACATTTGACACTTTGTCTACAACCACACTGTTAGGAGACGCATCGAAAGAAATGTTTTAATCCGCTCACGCGAAGAAGCTCACAGAGTTAACGTATAAATAATCACTGATCAAACGTCACATGAAGAAGAATATACTGTGTGGAGAGACTAGCCAATGCAGCCACACATCAATTCCGAAAATACATTGAATCACAGTTACCTACAGTGGTACCAAGTGCTGTAATAGAAATGATCCATGAATGAGGAATGGATCTTCAATTCAACACTCAATCATTGGCTTGTCTCCTGGCAATCATGGGAATTGTGGTTTTGTGACTGAAAAGAGACTCACCCCGATGGATTCATATTTATTCTCAGTTTAATTGGGATCTCTGAAATTCACATCCATTAACATGAATCATAGCTCAAAGGACATTTTAATCTTTAGTCTCTACTATGATCTGTGCAGTGTTTAAAGAGAGACGGTCAAGTGATTAAACTTACTCCCCTGATAGAAACAGGCTACTTTTCTTGACATAATGAATATCATTTATAACACTGGTTCACACGTGGAGCACTGCATACAAGTAAGTTAAACCTATTTTGTTGTGCTTTTGAGATCATGTGTCCAACCAAGTGAACTAAGGTGTCTCTATTATTCTGGATGCCACAGAATATGAGCGACTGAGATGTATGGCAGCAAATGCAAAGACTAGAGTGGCAAACATAAGCGGACTCTTGTTTGAAGCTGTCTTTATGGGCTTCTCGTGTCTAATTGCCCAACTGTTAAAATGCAGAGTGCCACCCCTTGAAACAAGACAGCTCTTGCATCGACAATC